TTAGTCTCAAAGGTGCCACAGGACCCTCTGTTGCTTTTTACAGATTCAGACTAACACAGCTACCCCTCTGATACCTTACCAAAGAGTTACTCAATTTCAGGAGGAAACTTAAAAAATAGTGCTGAATTTACAGCAAATGATTGTTGTACATACTTTTATTAATTCATTATCTGTTGACTACAAAACTAGTTCACAATAGGATTTTATATTAAATTTAATTAATTAAAATAAGCATATTGGACCGCAGCTAATTCTGAATTGAGAACAATAGTTCATACTTTTTTTCTTTTTTTCAAATAGTTTATTTTAAGATGACAAGCAGGCAACTGACCAGGGACCAACTGAGGTAGCCTCAGGTTTCAGGACAGATCTAGCCCTGGTTATTTTCCTTGAACACATACCTTTTGAGATGCTTTCTTGGCAGGCACAGTCTCCTCATCTTTATATTCAACAATTGTAGTTACCTTAACTACAAAAAAAAAAAAGACAATTCAAAGTGGATTAGAAATACATAGAATATTAATAGCTGCAGTGATGGGCACAATGACAAGTCCATTTAGCTCTACATTGACTGTTAGTAGACAAATAGCAATTGATTCCACCATTTGATGGCCATTTGGCACTCAGTTCAATGCTTAGGTGGATTGCAAGTGTGCCCAACATCGTAACTACTATATATGGATCGCCACCCTCACTGACATATCTGGGATGCCAAGGATACCCCTCTCACCCTTAGAAGTGACCCCCTCCAGAGTAGGTTCAGACCACTGTGACAGAGGTGCACCGTTTCTACTGCACCTGTTCTGAGATTAAAGAGATGAGGTGGACCAACTTTGGTTGGTGAGAGAGACAAGGTTTCAAAGAGCTCAGGTCTGAGAAAGGTACTAAGAGTGTCACAGCTAAATACAAGGTCAGACAGACAGTTTAGCGTAAGTAGTTAGTACATATTCTAAGGGACCATTCAAGGTGAAGTGGCCCATTAACACCCTTATAATCAGAGGACAAAAGGGGATTAGTAGGGTATAGATTGTTGTAATAAGCCATAAATCCAATGTCTTTGCTAGACACTAAAAATCATGGTCTTAAGATTATGAATGTAAACTCTCAAACTCACCTTTTAAGCGTGCAGGTTTCCTTTGAGGATGAGGACTGATAGGTCAGATACAGAGTGATCACTTATTCTTTTACAGACAGTGGTCCATCCATAGGCGCTGGCTTCTGCTGGCACCCCAACCCAGCCTTGCCCCAACTCCACCCCTGCCCCCCCCTCCCACCCCCATTCCAACCCCTTCCCCAAAGTCCCCGCCCCAACTCCACCCGCTCCCTAAATCCCCGGCCCCACCTCTTCCCCTGAGCACGTTGTGTTCCCGCTCCTTCCCCCTCCCTCCCAGAGCTTGTTATGCCATGAAACAGCTGTTTCACAGCAGCAAGCGATGGGAGAAGCGGGGATGCGGTGCGCTCAGGGGAGGAGGTGGAGGTGGAGGCAAGGTGAGTGGGGGCAGGGAGCTTGGCTGCCGGTGGGTGCAAAGCACCCACCAATTTTTCCCTATGGGTACTCCAGCCCTGGAGTACCCACGGAGTCGGTGCCTATGGGTCCATTAGATAGGTGACTGGAATGGGACTCCCCAGGAGACTTGCATTCTACTCCCAGCTCTGCCACTGACTTTTGTGACCTTGGGAAACTCACTTCACCTCTGTGTTCCCTTCCACCCTTTATTCAGATTGTAATCGCTTAGTAGATATATTTACAGCGCCCAACACAATGCTGCACCACTCTGCCTCCCCCTTCCTGCACTCCCAAATATCTGTTGGGACGTCTAATAAGGCTGGAACTTTTTGGCTTGGAAAAGAGACGACTAAGGTAAGGATATGATAGAGGTCTATAAAATCATGACTGGTGTGGAAAAAGTAAATAAGGAAGGGTTATTTGCTCCTTCTCAAACACAAGAACTAGGGTTAACCAAATGAAATTAATAGGCAGCAGGTTTAAAAAAACAAACAAAAGGAAGTATTTCTTCACACAACGCACAACCTGTGGAACTCTTTGCCAGAGGATGTTGTTACGGTCAAGGCTAACAGGGTTCAAAACAGAACTGGATAAATTAATGGAGGATAGGTCCATCAATGGCTATTAGCCAGGATGGGCAGGGATGGTGTCCCTAGCCTCTGTATGCCAGAAGCTGGGAATGGGCAACAGGGGATGGATCACTTCATGACTACCTGTTCTGTTCATTCCCTCTGAAGCACCTGGCTTTGGCCACTGTCGAAAGAAAGGATACTCGGCTAGATGGACCTTTGGTCTGACCTAGTATGGCTGTTCTTATGTAGGCTTCACTGTAATAAATTATATACTCAGAGTACCAAAGGGAGTTTTAATAACAATACTTTTTTGCAGTCACTAAATTCATACCATTAATAATAAAGAAATAGATCAGATACTGGAAGTCCATGTCATGAAATCATTCACCTCTTTTGCTGCAATTCCTCACCAGCCTGGTATTTGGAATGTCCTCTACAGAGCAGTCATTCTAGAAGATATTTAAAGAACAAAGTGAGATCTGTACAATCAGTAAATTTCCCCAAGATACATATTTATGTTAGCCTAGGGGAGAGGGTGACTAAGTTCGTAAAGTAAAGTGATACAAGGTGTTTTCAGAGACCGTTTCCAGCATGAGGTAAAGATGATGTTTAGCAAATCCATTTTCAGTCACATGCACAAGACAGAATGGGAGTGAATAACTAAACTTGAAGTTGTGGCAACAATATCTGTAAGTTACCCTAAAAGGGTCAGAGACAATGTGCAGTAGTTTCACATTATTATAGGCTATTGTCTCCTGCCATGTATTTTTGTGTGGCATTTTTTTTCTTAAATTAAGCTAATAGCAAAAAATATTCCTATTAAAGTTCCTTTGTGTTGTCAGGTTTTCCATTTTTAAAGTTCTGCTACAATTTACAAACACTTACAGTGGTTTGAGCTTTGGCCTGCTAAACCCAGGGTTGTGAGTTCAATCCTTGAGGGGGCCATTTACGGACCTGGGGCAAAAATCTGTCTGGGGATCGCTCCTGCTTTGAGCAGGAGGTTGGACTAGATGACCGCCTGAGGTCCCTTCCAACCCTGATATTCTATGATTCTATGACTTACCGCTACAACAGCAGCAGCTACAACAGCAGCTTCCTCTCCTCCTTGCAGGTCTGTTACACAAGAAAAAACAAACAAAAAACAAAACAAAACAAAAACATATCCTGTTTACAGTAACTACTATTTGCTTAACTATGGTCCATGTGCTTCTAGATTAGGGATGGGCAAACTTTTTGGCCCAAGGGCCACATCTGGGTATGGAAATTGTATGGCAAGCCACGAATGCTCACAAAATTGGGGGTTGGGGTGCAGGAGGGGGTGAGGGCTCTGGGAGGGGGCTCTGGGCTGGGGGGAGGGCTCCAGCTGGGGCTGAAGGGTTGGGGGTGCAGGAGGTTGCTCCAGCCTGGGACACAGGGGTTTGGAGAACAGGAGGGGGATCAGGGCTGGGGAAGGGGGTTGGGGCATGGGACAGGGTCAGAGGTGCAGGCTCCGGGCAGTGCTTACCTCAAGCAGCTCCCAGAAGCAGCGGTATGTGCTCCCTCTGCCTCCTACACAGAGGCGCGGGCCAGGTGACTCTGCACGCTGCCCTGTCCGCAGGTGCCGCCCCTGCAGCTCCCATTCGCCGCAGTCCCTGGCCAATGGGAGCTGCAGGGGGCAGCACTTGGGGCAGGGGCAGCATGCAGAGACCCCTGGCTGCCCCTATGTGTAGGGGCTGGAGAGGGGACATGCTGCTGCTTCCAGAAGCCACATAGAGTGGAGCCAGCCCCCGTCCCCACTCCCCGGCTGGAGTGCCAGAGTGGGTCAAGCCCTGGATCCTGCTGCCCGGCGGGAGCTCGAGGACCGGATTAAATCATCTGGAGGGCTGGATGAGGCCCCCGGGTTGTAGTTTGCCCACCCCTGTTCTAGATGAAGGAGAGAGCCTGGAAGAGAACAAGTTATGCAGCTGGGGAGAAAGTTGTGGTGCACAACTGATGCAAAAAATTGACCTTGACTGGAGTGGTATGTCATTTGTACCATTTCAAGCCCTGTAAGAGAGTTTTAGGGCTCGTCTCGGTGGAGAGAATGCACAGCAAGCTGGGGTGTGAATCCACAGAGCACTAACATGCCATGCACGAACCATCCATGTGGACCCTGCTGCTGCACTGGAGTAGGTTAAAGTGCACTTTGGTACTTTTGGTGTACAGCAACAGGGTGCACATGGACAGTTAGTGTGTGGAAAGCTTGTGCACTGTAGATTTACACCCCAATATGCCATACACTAATTCAATATCTGGAGAAGCCCTTCGTTTCAGGATTCCTTGAATTCTGAAGGCCAACATCTCAGATACCAGCTTTCCCCACTACTCTAGGGTGCTGATACCTCTAAAGGAGCTAAGTATAGTCCCACAAAACATGGTTTGTAACTGAAAGGAAAGGGAAGGGAAGTTTACATTTAAGGCACTAGTCACAGTTATAACTACTTTAGACTAGGATTTTAGCAGAAGCTAGGCATCCAAATCCACTTTGATTAACCTTGATTCCATAAGCATATCCTGTTTTGGTCTTTATTTGGTCCCATATAAGAGTTTCACTTGGGAAGAGAAACTTCTGAAACCAATATTCCTATAGCAGCAAATTACTGCTGTTTATCACAGATTGAATTGCTGCTATTATTTCATAAGCATAGGCACCAACTTCTCCTGGCACCAGTGGGTGCTTGCGCCCCCCGCCGCCCCAACTCCACCCCTGCCCTGCCCTCTCCTTTCTCTGCCCCACCCCCATTCCAACCCCTTCCCCAAATTCCCTGCCCCAACTCCATCCCCTCCCGCCCCACTGGACTCCTTCTCCAAATCCCCACCCCAGCCCCGCCTCTTCCCCTGATTGCATCACGTTCCTGCTCCTCCCTTCCACAGCTTGTTATGCCGCTGTTTTGCGACGGCAAGCACTGGGAGGAGAAGCAGGGACGGCGCACTCAGGGGAAGAGGCGAGGCGAGGCGAGGCAAGGCGGAGGTGAGCTGGGGCGGGGAGCCCACCAATTTTTCCCCGTGGGTGCTCCAGCCCGGATCACCCACTGAGTTGACACTTATGTTCATAAGTACAAGTTGGAATCAAAACGGTCTTAAGCCTAGTTACTTACATGGTGAGAAGATTTGATAGCACAGGGTTCTATTGCTTGGAGTCTTTAAATCTAGACAAAGTGTCTTTCTAATATACAGAAGCTCACACAGAAGTTCTGGGTTTGATGCAGGAGTTATTGGGGGAAGATCTATGGCCTGTTTTATACAGGTCAGACTAGCTGACCATAATAATAATTTCTAGTCTTTATCTATGATTGCATCACAATTAAAATTTAATAAAAATTGACTCAATCAAGGAAGTAGCTTATCAAAAAGTCATAGACAAATAACAGTCTATATAGCGGTTCTCAAACTTCAGCAACCTGAGGACCCCCATTTTGATTTAAAAATTTTCAGGGACCCCCCAAGCTCCACCCCTTCCCCCAAGGCCCCACCCCAACTCTTCCTGCCCCCCCTTTCTTGATCCCCCCCCTCGCTCTCCCCCACCCTCACTCACTTTCACCAGGCTGGGGCAGGGGATTAGGATCAAGAGGGGGTGCAGGCTCTGGGAGAGAATTTGGGTGGAAGGGGGGTGAGAGATGCAGGTTCTGGGAGGGAGTTTGGGTGTGGGCTCTGGGCTGGGTCAGGGGGTTGGAGTGCAGGAGGGGGTGAGGGGTGCGGGCTCTGGCAAGGCCTAGGGCTTACCTTACCCCGGTGGCTCCCAAAAGCGCTCAGTACATCTCTCTGACAGCGGCTCCTTGGCAGGAGGGTCAAGGGGGTCTCCACATACTGCCCCTGCAGCGCCCATTGGCCACAGTTCCCAGCCAATGGGGGCTGTGGAGTCAGCGCTCGGCCAGGGGCAGTGTGCAGAGACTCCCTGGCCCTCCCCCAGGGGCCGTACCGGCCGCTTCCGGGAGTGGCGCAGCGCCAGGGGAGGTAGGGAGCCTGCCTTACCCCCACTGCACCTCTGGACTTTTAGTGCCTAAAAACTCCAGGTTTGGCTTCAGCAGCCTCTGAGAGATACAGCAGTTCCCCGGCATTCAGGCGCTGGGAGGAAAGGGGAGGAGTTGATCAGCAGGGCCCAACGAAAGCTCTGGAGTACCCTCAGGGATCCCAAGGGGTCCACAGACCCATTTGAGAAACACTGGCCTACAGGGAAGTTTAGAGCTACACTTAAGACATGAAAGTAGATAGTGTTATCCTGCTGTCTATAAGTATGCATTCCAAGAAAACCACACTTACTAAGCAAGTCTTTTCTTTTCATTTTTCTGACAGCAACTGGCATCTTCAATAACTCCACTCTAAATGCTTTCTCAGCAGTTTGCAAAAGTGAATCAATTTCTTTCTTCATTTCTTGAAGATTCTCTTTGGCTTCAAATAAAAAAAACAAACCTGTTGCTAAGTGTACAATACACTTCCAAGTTCATTAATAGTTTGCCTGTTGGATAGTACCTTTGTTCCAGTCAAAGAATTAAGATCATATATTTACAGGGGTCAGTCCGTTTGACTAGAAATTCAGCTTAATTCAAAGTAGATTTTAAGTTATACAATGCCACATGTTCCTAGAATCTGGGTGTCCTCAAACTGGTAAACAAGTCAACATTTTAAAACTACCATTATCCTTATTTAGGTACTTACATGCCCTCATCACCTTAATAGTCAAGCATCTCACCATTATTAATTAAGCCTCAGGACACCCCTGGAAAATACAGAAATACCATCCCATTTTTACAGATAGATGAGAGATTATCCAGCTTGCCCAAGGTTACAAAGACAAACTGAAGCCAGATCTTCGTTATTTTTTATATATATATAACATTTCTTATTTTATATATATCTCTATCTCTATCTTTTATTATATATATATATATATATAACGAAGATCTGGCTTCTAGTTTG